AAAAAAAGAGCAATGACAGAATCATAGATGGTAGGTAAATTGCTAACTGCTCTCAGTGTCTAGAACTGTAAGCTATGTGCTGACATAAGGAAAGGTACTAGCTCATGGTGTGAAATTTTTTAAATACACAAATATGAAGATCAATGAAATTACTATTCAAGTACGAATGCTTGCACTTTACAAAAAGAAATAATTTTCAATGTTTATATAAACATACAAATATTTATTTTAATAAGAATATCATGCACTCAAAAAACAAGTGCACATTCAACCTTCACCTCACATTTCAACATTTTTTGTTGAAGGTGCACTCCATTTGCCTCAGGATTTTTAAACTCTCATAATTGGAAAGGTTATGATATTGCTACCTTGATTAGGGATAGGTGGTTTATATTTATTTGTGACAACTGGTAGATGTAAAGACAAATGCTTATACTATATAATCCTCATGAGCTCCAAATCACATTATTTTGAATAAAGATAATTGAGAATTGTGCAATTTATTTTCTGTTACAAATTTTAATTATCACGGAAGGAACATATTTATGACCACGATATAATAACAAGATATCCTACTTTAGTCTAAGATTGTTAATATTACACTTTGAACTGCTTGAAAAATGCAGGATTGGAACAAACAATTAAGACTACACTATGAGTACTGAATTCAATTTGATTTCCTTATTGACTGGCCACAGCTTTGCCATGACTCAAAAATAAATGTAACACCTTTGTTGCTGAAAGTGTCAGATGTTTGGAGGCAAAGGGAATTGACCCCAAATCTGAACTTGAATTATTAAAAAGATAATAATTATAAAGGCTATATTTTGATTACTGGATAGTTGGAATAAACGGAAGCCCTGATTTTGATAAGTTGATTATTGTAGTGAATCTAATGAACTATGCTGAACAAATCTGAATAAACTGAAAATAATAATGTCAATATATTGGATAGTTTGAAAAATGAAAAATGGTAATAATGAACAACACTTATTCTGATTGGTTGATTATTTTCATGAAATTAATCAATTTAATCATAATTCTGATTAATAAATTACTGTCATCAATACTCATAGGTAATCAGTTACATCAATTAATTGTATTATAGTCCAGCTTTACTAAAAATGAAAGTTTCCTATAGCAGTAACAATTAGCACACTTTCATTAGCAGCCTATCCAACCTGCATGTAAATTTCCTGATCAGAAAGGCAGTAAACTTAATTCTATTAAGCAAGTTTTCTCCCTTTCCCTTTTAACTATTCAAACCATGCAGTTTATATTAATGACCTCCAAAATATCTCTCATAAAAAATGACCCACATTAGTCACTGTCGTATGACTGACTGTTGAGTTATGCCATTATAGCTTGACTTGTATTAATGGTTTATACCTATGAAGATAAGTTTGTACATATGATAAGTAGTGCTTATTAAGATATATTCAGTGTATTATGTGATTTATGCTAATGATAATGAGTGACATGTATAAATGAATATTTGCCAACAGACACCCACATCAGATATAAAAAATAATGCTAAATTGGTTCCTCTCAAAGACAAAAGAACTAACTATCTATTTATACAAATCTCTGATTGGGCCTCACTTCAGAATACTGTGTATTGATTTTGTTTTCTAGTTTAAATATGAAATGATACTGACTGACTAGACACAGTTCAGAGAAGTCTATATGGATGAATCCAAGGATGGTAGGGTTACCTTATGGGAATAGGTTAATACATTTTCTCTTGAGAAAAAAAGATATGAGGTGATTGTCGAAGTTTGCAACATTTTCCAGGATTTTGATAGGATAAAAGACCTCTGATTTCTTTGTGCTAAATTCAAAGATAGCAGGATGAAAGAAAATATGTATAAAACATGGGGAAAACTTCAGTTTAGATGGTTTTATAATAAAAGGATGAGTAGCTTATGGAATGATTTGCCTGTACAACAGCTTAAACAAGGAATCAATAATATCCTGAAAAATAAATGTTTATTTTTTCTTGGTGGTAGACACACAGAGACAGCTTGAAAGCCCAAATGGTCCCTTTTCTTTATGTCATGCTATATGTTTAGAAGTGGTTTTAAGAGCATATAATATTCATTTATTTAGAGAAATATTAAGCTCAAAAGTAGGGAGGTTATATCATCGAAAAAACTTTGGTAGCATGAAATAGATGTATACTACTAGGACATTAGCAATTTTTAATAAACCTATAAAAAGAAATACACCGACAAAAGATAATTACAAAACTGCCAGTCACCATTTTCAAGGGTTTACTAATTATCTTCAGAAAATCATGTTCACACATATACAAAAATGATTGAGCCAAAGTGGCACATTGTAAATATCTTACAAAGGTAATAAACATTTGTAAACACGCCCAAGATGCTGTCAGCCTGATCGATAAATCATTAAATGTCAGCCTATAAGAAATCATCATTTGGTATAGAAACACGATAATGATGATGTCAATAACTTTAATTTTATTTCAATCACTTTTATGACTGGTCAAAGATCTATGACCTGTATATAATGGAAGCTACAGTTTTTTGTTTTTAAATAGCTTTTCTGTGTTCATTAATACAAATTTTTAACCAATGTCCAATTAATCCTACATAAGATGAGTTAGAATTATTACATTATATTCCATACACAATGCCCAATTTTTCCAGGGGGCAATCTTGTGCCATTAGGATGAACAAGACCCTTTTATAATGAAGATCATGGTTTGGATCCAAATCAGGGTTAGAATAATTGTTCACGTGCTCATACAACAAATGGAATCCTATTTCCTGACAATTTGAATTAACATATATATATATATCTTTGTAAGACAATAAAAAACTCTATAACCCAAGCCCATTTGAAAAGTTGACCTTCCTTCTACAGTTTGCCCCTGAAGAAGAAAGGTCCACTTTTTGAAAGTGTTTAAGTTATAGGGTTTTTATCATTTTTATCAAGACTTCTTTGAACTTACATATTTTTATGACATCATGTATATATATATATATATATATATATACATACATACATACACACACACACTTTTTTTTTTCCGCAAATTCCTTTTCAATACTTTTTTTCTCTGAAATAAATAGAATACAGAAAATGGTAACCACTGAATACCATTCTGATAAATTGTGGTTAATGCTTGACTCCCAGAGTTTTGTTGGTATCCCACATCTGAAACTGAGGATGAAAAAGGCATTCAAATACCATAATTATGATGGGTGTTCTAAGATAAGACCTTTGAACTAGAGAAACCCATTCTTACAGTTTTTAAATCATTAAAAATGTATTTAATGACTTAATTAGCATTTTTCCAGGCACTATTAATAATACTAAGACAAAAATGATTGGCATTAGATCACATACATTGTTTTACTACCACTTTTTAGTCTAAGTGTAGAGCAGCATATAACATCCTAAGTCAGTGATTCTGAACGTGGGGTGCACGCCCCACAGGGGGGGGGGGGCAATTTGATAATGCTACAATAAAAAACAATTTTAATTTGAGTATGAAATTTTGGTAAATTTCTAAATTTTACATTATATTGTTATACCTTTTCAACACCAAATTTGTTTTGATATTAAGGGGGCATCAAATATTTTGAGGTGTCGATGGTGGGGCATGGAGCAAAAATGGTTAAGAACCATTGTCCTAAGTAATATTTATATGCAAGTTTACTTTCTGTTTTTAACAGATTGAAAAATTTAACTTTACACTTCTTTTCTTCTGATCATATTTGAAAAAAAGTTTTGAACACAGCATATAAAGGCATGGACAAAGGAGTTGAGTTGGACCTTCAGGGCTACCCTTTAACACATACACACACAAAAAAAGGAGAAATTCATCCTTTATTTTCCAGAAATTACCAATTCCTCCTTTTAAACTTTAAATGTTGGTATCCACCACAGCTAATGGAAACTCATTCCATAGCTAATCACCCTGTTAAAAAAACAAAACATTTAATGTTATGTCCTCTGCAATCAGCACTAGAAAATTCAGAGGCCTTTATCTTATCAGCTGCCTAGATGATCTCGTAAACTTGAATAAAATCACCATTTCTCAGAAGGAAATAAACTGAGATGTTAATCTATCCCCACGAGATAATCCACCCATCCTTGGAATCATCATATCAGTTCTCCTCTGAACCCCTTTCTACTAAGTCAGTATTCTTGTTTATCCTAAATTCTAATTTGTAAATGGTTTAAATAAATAATTAATAATATTTTACAATTCACTTACTTAATCTAGTTCATACCATAAATGGTGTTGTTCATGAAACCGATGATATAAATAGTACCTCAACCACTACTATGCCTGTTGCACCTCAGTTGGCTTGAGGAACCCTGGTATATAGCATATGTAGTGTAGATGACATATTATTACATATTCTTCTGTACTTTCACTCATGGGTTCTTAGAATTAGATAATGTAAAAACCCAAACTGTACACAATACTTGAATTGAGTCTTAAACAGTGATCTTTTATAACAGATAAATACCTCTTTTGACTCACAACCATTAAGTCTATAAACACATCCTAAAATTCTATTTTAATATACCTTTCCTACTAAGCAACAGAGTACTACCTCAATGGTTTATGTGACTTATCTACCATCATGCAAGATCCATTTATTCAGCAGCCAGTGTTGATTAGGTTCATATCTACATTAAGTGTGTGATCCAAATTCATTACCTTGCACTTACTAAAATTAAACATAGTTTGTCCAACTTGCCAAGTCATTCTTTAGTACCTCAATGTAGCAAAAAATAACCAAAAGTTTAATTAATGTTATCAGGAAACTTTACTAATCACATACTTATCAAAGTCATTAATATAAGTAGGAAAAGTTATTCTGGTAACATATTAGAAAAATTGCCCAAGAGCTTCAGATCTCTAACATTTGCTTGAAAGGGTAATGTATATTCAATTTGCTTTCACTCTGTGTACACTAGGTCAATTAAGACTTTAATATTACATTAAATCAACTTACCATCTGACCGCTGAATATCAACATTCATTCCAACTTTCAGTGATCCAAATTCTCCATCCATTTTGAAAGTACAATTCCACACCAAAGTCAAGGAACTATTAACAGTATTACATATTAATTATATACTTTATAACAGTCTGGTTTATGAATGTAGTCACAAAGCTTAACCTTAACTTGTAAGTATTTTTTTAAGGATTTCAATTCTTTATCAATGATTTAATAAATGATACTTATAAGTTATAATATATATACGTCCCTGTGAATTTTTCTTGACTATCAAAAGTATAATGTCACTGTCGCAGTCATTCATTATATTTTAGTTATTAAATATTACTATTAGGCTATAAATGATGTTATATATATTCTTCTAAGTTTTTAATAAGTAAGGATACAGCTTATGAATCAGATACAAAAATATACGTCACAACAAAATGACGACACAATAATAATTTAAATACAACTTCAATAGAAAATAAGCAACAGTTAATAGCGATAGCTGGCGAAATTAGAATCATGTTGTCGGCTTAAACTGTTACAGTTAAGTAAACAATAATATTAATAAGTAAGGCAATTGATAAATTAAGTAAAGTCTACTTACCACTAGTACTACTAATACTATTAGTAGTACTAACACTAGTAACAGTTAACAGTTTAGCATAACTCGTCGTACTGGAAACAGACGTCAACTCGTCTTTGCACTGTCCGTTTGCCTACTTCATGTTTTACTTATAATTATATCACAATATTCCAGTTTTCCTTCTTTTCATTTGCGATATTGTAGCCTCAAACACTTATTTTAAAACTGTTTAGAATACACCAAGTAAACTTCACAGTACATAAACTATGCGCAATTCGTTCCTTTGGTGTCAATCAATTGACTGCTACAAATACTCCCTACTAAAAATTAAAACTCCTACCCAGCTCGACTCAGATAAACGAGTGAAAGTATCCTTTACCCTTTACACAGTGCTGAATTTCCCAATTTAGCCAGAAGATGGCCAACTAACACGACCATTTGTAAATATTTAATATCACTTGGTAACAGGGTTAGTGGATATAAAATATTACCTAAAATATTTATATTTTTCATTCTTAATGTCAATGTAGAACAACCAAGAGTTATTTCTATCAGTTGTCCAGATAAAAGGTAAAAATAGTTTCACAAAGCATAAATAACAGGATGTTTTATCGATCGCATTGCAACTAATTCATCAGGTGGAAAACGAAGTTTTATAATAAATGTTCAAAATACACTAATATATACAAATATGAAATATACCCCAGAAAAACATATTACAAAGTCTTTATTAAAGAAAACTTTTCCTTTATTAATTGTCATCCAACACTAAATAATAACATTTCCAGATCCCCAGTCTTTTCATTTGATTATAACATTATCATTTTTTAAAAAATGCAGTGTTTATACTTACATTTAACTCTTTCTTAAATATTTTATAATGTTTTGTCTTAATATTATTAAGCATATGTATGCTGCACATTTTATCGTACATTCCGTTATAATGTTACCGTTAAAATATGTTCTTTCTAAACTTTTGATTGTATTAAAAATACTTTTTTTTGTCATTAGAATACTGTGAACTAACTTTTGAGATTTTAACGCTGATAATTAAATCTAAAACAATTCCGAAATGACCGTATTAACAAATGTTTGTTTGTTTTTTGGTATTATTGTAATCGTATTGCACTTTTAAACTTTTTTATTTTATATTTTACGGGAAGTTATTTTAAGCATTTTTAATCACGTTCTCCGTGTATAATTTCCATAATTGCCGCACTATTCTTGTTTCTTGTTAAACACAAAGGTAAGCAATTGGCTATCTGTGCTCTCTTGACAGTGAAAATCAAAACCCGATTTTTAGCGTTAAAAGTCCTTAGGCTTAATGCTGAGCCACAAGGAGAATAATGGCTAACTTTTGCTTTTTCATCCTAACAGAATGAAGTGATAAGTTAAGCTAAACTGAGGCCACAATATAAAGATTAAAAATATGCACCCCTAGAATTCAGGTATGTGTTTTTCATAAAAAGATAAGATTCAACGTCAATTTGATAGCCTGTTATTAGTTTGTTTAACACATTCGTATGTTTGAAAGTTAGAAAAAAAAAACTATCAGATTCAGTCATCATATTTGTTTTTTGTCAAATTATAAATAATTAAACAAACTGTGCCATATTTGCATATATCAAAACCACACTTATCAAGAATTTTGACGTATGAATTAATTTCTATAGTACTATTTCTTCTTTCCATTTTTACCTTAGAAAGAAAAACAGTTTTAGTTTTGGTAATTATTTTTTTTTTTTCACGTATATGATTTCGTACAGTGAAACCAATTCTAAACTGTCGTGATGTTATTGTTTGTGTTGATTACACATTTTCAGTGTTATCCTACTTAGGTATTTATGATTCTACTACGAAAATATCGCTGAAGAATTATTCTGGTCTTGTGCTTTATGCTACCTACTCCAGTGGTGTCGGTCGTGTGCAGGTTTAGAAATACGTGGAGGCTTATGCGCTGACCAAGACGTTAGTATCACATGCATTATGGTTACTTGTTCCAATCTAAATGAAATTTGCAGAATCCGTATATCTTCTAAGACATTCACGAGAATCTTGAGAACTTCTCAGGATTTATGTTATCTAGAGAAATGCCCCTTATAGAAAAATAGTTTGTTTCTAATTTTAACTTATCTTGTGTCCAATCTGTCTTCTTCAACTTAGCCAGTTAGAAACCCAGTTTAACTTAATGATATATTTCTTGCCTCTACTTGTTGAAGTCATTAACTAAACTAAATGGTTATTGATGGAGCTGAGAGTATTAGAACCCCAAGACAAAAATCTCCATCTTCCAACACCCACTGATGCGCGATTCGTTGATTCCCCTCATCTAGCAAGTGTTATTTGTTCCTGTTGCTATAACTTAGAATAACTGTTACAACAGCACAGAAAACTTGATGCTATTCCTATTAAATTAAAAGTATTATTATTAATAATATAATCCTTTTGGAGGGATGCTGCCAATGGAGACAATTTTATGGTAGACAAAAAAACGTACCAGTGATGCGAATGACCAAAACAATTATGAAAATACTTCATTTAACACACAAGCGCTGCTTTACAAGGTAGATGTAAATCTGTGAAGCAAATATTTCATCGCTAGCGAGGGAAAGAAAATATATTAACCAAAGTAAGGCAAGGTGTATCAACAACTGAAACATAGCCAAGTCCTTAGTGGTTTTTTTGAAATTCTAAAGAGCATAAGTATAATATGGATATTCTAGTATAAGCCGATAATGCTTAAAACTAAACATTTTATTGATCATAATTTATGGTCCGATAAGGTTTAATGCTGTGCTTTAATATTAGACTTAGCTGGAAAACTCGATTACAGTAAACTTTGTTTTATACTAAGAAAATCGTCCAGAGGTGACCTAATGGTTAGCTAAATGTGGATCCTAGGCTCGAAGTTTCGCGTCCTGTTGTCCCAAAATCATGCTTCTCACTTTGGTGCAGTGAGTATGTTATAAGAGCGATAGTAAAATCCCACTATTCGATTTGAATAAGCCATAGATTGACGGTGTGTGCTGTTGTCTATTAGTCTCTATAGTCTGTCAGATTACACCCAGAGATGGCTATGTGTAGCTTTACATGAATACAGGTATACGAAATAAAGATATAAAAATATGTACGTACAAACAAACTCTACACTATCCCAAGTTTTTCATCTTGTTAATGATTATTAGTTTTTAATGATATTAAAATACCTGTTTATAAAGTACGTTACCTTTACCGAGCTTTGAAAATATGAAAGGTCCAGCCAGATAAGAAGTACACTTGTTAAAAAAGTTCCAAAGAAAAAGAAAACATTTTGTATTAATTTTTTCATCACAACCATACCCCACTGTGTCGATGGGAAGTTTACGGACTAACAACGCTAAAATTCGAAGTTTAATAACGTGTGGTGGACAGAGTGCAGATATCCTGTTGTATAGCTTGCGCCAAGAAAACAACAACAATAACAACTGATCACAAACTACATTTCCTTCGATTATATCGGTTGGTAGTTTAATCCTAGTTGTAATTACCATAAATTTTATTTGTACTAGTTTATATTTAGCGTTATTTTATATAATATAATGAAGAATATAGGTGTTTTATTTTGTTTTGTTTTTGCACTCTACAGTGTGACTGGGCGTAAGGTTTTCATTATCTATGTTATTAGTGTGTGCAATCACTGTAGTCGTTCGATATTAATAGTTATCCTATCTGGCAGGTAATCCCGCAGTGACGTCTTCCAATGGGACAATGGTAAGTTTATGGATTTACAACGCTAAAATCCGGGATTTGATTCTCTGCGGTGGACACAGCCGATAGCCCGATGTGGCTTTGCTCTAAAATAAACAAAGAAACAAACCCATAATGACTCAGCAGTAAACTTATAAACTTACAATGCAAAACTCCGCGGTTCGATTCCCATCGGGCAATCTTCTACTAAGATAACAATACTATCCTTTCTGGCAAATGTAGGTTATATCAAGATATCTATGTATATTATACTACAGTATTATCTTAATGCCATTTTGTTAATGCAGAAGAGCATAGGTGAAAACGTGTGAACTCACTGAATTCCATAAAATTATTAAATAACCAATATATACTTGTTAAAACTCTTATGATTACTTTTGATTCTTTGTGTAGATTCTATATTCACAAAAACTACATATGCATACTATTATAAGCTATTTTTGATGTTGGAATTTAGATGTTAGCTCGAAGAAGCTACGGGTCGTAATGATGATGTTAAGATAGTCCTAAAAACGTGGAAAGTTCTTAAGGATTTGCCATCAGAATTTTCTAGAAATTCGAGGGTAGATTTTATATAAAGCATCAAACAAAAGTTAACAAGACTTCTGAGAAGAAAGAGCGTTGTCTCTAGCTCGTAGAGTAAAACAGTCAGTGTGGTTTCGTTTTTAATTAAGTATTTGTATCTGTATTATAAATTGCGCATATTGAGTTACTTGTACAAGTAGTTGACTATTTTTATGTTAGTGTAGTACGGCTAGCATTATCTGTAAAGTGGCGTACAACTTACCACAGTGTTTAAGTTTGTAGAAGCATTAAATAAGAAAATAAACTAATTTTTTTAGTGTTTCGTGGACCTGAAGGTGAATCATTTTTTTCCAGATAATTTAAAAGAATCCGCCAGTGAAAAAACAACGTTATAACAATACACAATAATCGTCTATTGTATTTTCTTTGGCATTTCAATTATGGTCAATAGATGGCAGCAAAAACGATAACACTTGAGTTTTAGCTGTATGTATGATATGTGTAATTATTTCATTAATTGGAGAGCGAATTAGTCTTGAATAATTTACTGAACTTTTTAATAATAACGTACTAACTAAAATGCAACGTACTAACTAACATATTAAGTAGAATGCACGTACAGTAAACGGGTTTTTTTCGGTATAAAACAGGAATGTATGAGCCCAATGAAATTACACTTAAATTCCTATCATAGAATATAAAATCCTTATTTCAGCACTTTAATAATGGATTTAATTCTTTAATATCGAACAGTTCTTTTGGACAATTTGGCGCCAAACATACACAAGAATACCTTTCTTTACAGTTTCAGTTGATGAAGAAAGAAGTAATTTGTTCACAAATAATGACATTATTATATTTTGTGTTCGAACTTATAACTCGGATAATTTGTCTTTGCTGACCTAGTACACTTAGAATAGTCGTAAAATTTACACATGTATAATAAAATATTATTTTTAATTTTAAAATTTTCGATGACACACTTAGTTGTTTTTGAAATTAATGATATTATGAAAATAGTAAAAACATCGTCAAATGTTTTGTTTGTTTGTTATTTAGCACGAAAGTGCACAGTGGGCTATCTGTGCTATATCCACCATAGTTATCGAACCAC